GAGAGCCACTCATAAATAAATACTATGAAGGAAAGCAAAACCAAAATGAAACAATAACAACAAAAAACACACAAAAATCAGAGTGCTTCGAGGAAAGTAACAAGACCTGTGTGACTTGGCTCCTGTCTGCCCCTTCCGCATCGTCTCACGCCTTTTTCTTCTTCTCCATGAGCTCCACTCCACTGGTCTCGTGCCTTCTCTCCGTGTTTGTTTCTTAGGTACACTTGGTGCAGTTTTTAACTTCAGTGAATGTTACCTTTTTATAAAATGTATGCTTGTTTTTTAATGACCACCCTCATTAGAATGTGAACTCCTCAAAGGCAGCAATTGTGTCTGCCTTTGTGCCACCGTCACTAGCATCCTCCTGGCTTTTAGAAGATGTTCCAAAGTTATCTATCCAATGACTGAATGTACAAGGTGACTCGGATGGGTTGGGACGGGGCAGGGGAAGTGTCTCAGACAGTGTTTACACGCCACTTTGGGTCTCCTCAGCTTTACTTACTTCTTGTTCCAGCTCTGCAGAGCTCTGACGATGTCACACCAACAATACACCTTCCACGAATGGACCTTGCGTATCTGGCTTCTTGCCCTGGTGCCACCCCTTGTCGCTGCCAGGGGGCCTTCTCAGCACCCATGCCCACCCGCAGGGCCTAGCAACGCAGAGGAGTTAACATGCTGTGGGTAACCTCTGAACACTGGGAGACAGGAACCAGAGGAGAATGTCTCCCCTTTGCTGGCCTCTGCGGGAGGGCCCTCGGACAGCCCACTCAACTTCCTGGGGACGTGACCCTGCAGATTTAGCCATCAGCTGCATGTGGAGATGGCCAGCAGCACATCCTTGCCTTGGCTCTTCCTCCATTCCCGCACCCCTCCCCTCCTATGTCTCCCTCTTGCTCTGTGGATTTTCCTTCCCTGTTAAAATAATAGCCCAGCAGCCTTTTGCCTCAGTCTTTATTTCCTGGGGAACCCAGGCTAACAGGGAAGCTTCTTGAAGGATACTTGAGCTGAGACCTGTCAGATAAGAGTGAGGAAAAACAAAACAAAACAAAAAGCTGGAGGGAGGGGTGGGAGTTGGTTTCTAGATCAGCAAAATGCAAAACAGGCATTGTCAGTCAGTGGAGAGGCCCGTGCCCTGGGGAACCAAAAGGCCACTGTGCCATCGTTTGGGGTGCAGGAGGGGTGAGCGGGGCAAAGCAGAGAGGAGGAGACAAAGAGGTAGTGACAGGTCAGCTCGTGTGGGGCTCGCAGGGTCTGGGCTTGTTCTCATGCAACAGGAGCCACTGGAAGGTGGAAGCAGGGGCCTGGCATCATCACATGATATTTTTTAAAGGATCACTTAGGCTGCAATGTGGAAAATAAGCTATTTTTAGCTTTGAGGAAGGGGCGAGACTCGTGAGGCGGGGCCAGCAGCCAGGAGTCTCTATAGCAGTCCAGATGAGAAATGATAATCCCCTGGACCAGGACAGCAACAGTGGACACAGAGAAAAGCAGATGGACCTGGGATGCGTTTGTGAAGGACGATCCTTCTGACTTACTGCTGGGTCGGGCGAGGAAGCGAGAATGGGAGAGAGATGGAAGCACGGCTTCCAGGCTTCCGGCTGGCAGGGTGGGCAAGAACAAAGTACAGAAGTACAGTCTATTCTCCAAGTTACATTTGGCTTTGGGTGTGTTAGTTTTGAGGTACTTTGAAATCATCCAAGGGGAAACATCAAGTAGGCAGTTGGGTAAATGAGACAAAAGTGCTCAAGAGAGAAGTCTGGGGTAAGGTCACATATTTGGCAGCAGGACCAGGTACATCATTTGCAAGACCCAGTGCAAAATGAAAACGCTGGGCCCCTTGTTAAAATTATTCAGAATTTCAGGCTGGTGAGAGCAGGGCACTACACCGAGCCCAGAGGCCTGTAACGTGGGGCCCTGTGTGACTGCTGCCCAGGCCACGGGCCCAGGAGGCTCAGAGGCGGAATTTAAAGCCAAGGAAATGGATCAGATACTTGGAGAGTTCGTTCATTAAAAGGAGGAGGAGGAAGGACCCAGGATTGGACAGCGAGATTCTGTGTTTGTACTGAATTCTAGAGCCATGTGTGTAACTGCTCACTCAGCAGCTTTACTTGAACTGCTAATAGATATTTCAAACCAAATGTTCCCAGCCCTACCTTGATTTTCACCCTGAAACATGCTCGCTCCAGTCTTCTCCACTCTAGAAATGACACTCCATCCTTCTAGGTGCTCCCAGCTCAGGCTTTGAATCACCTGGTCACTCCTCTTTTTGTCACACCTCGTATCCAATCTGTCAACAAATCCTCCCTTCAGGAGATAGTCACAATTTCCCACTTTTATGTTGTCTCCCACTGCCTTCTTCTGTCACCCGGATGGTTGCGGCAGCCTCCTACTTTGACCCCTTCTGCAGTCTATACTCTCTCTCTTTATTTTTTTAAGATTTTATTTTCAGAGAGAGGGGAAATGGGGTAGAGAAAGAGATGGAGAGAAACATTGATGTGTGTGTGTGTGTGTGTGTGAGAGAGAGAGAGAGAGAGAGAGAGAGAGAGAGAGATCGGCTGCCTCTTGCATGTCCCCAGCTGGGGACCTGGCCCTCAACCTAGGCATGTGCTCTGACTGGGAATTGAACCAGTGACCTTTTGGTTTGCAGGCCGGTGCTCAATCCACTGAGCCACACCAGCCAGGGCTACAGTCTATTCTCAACACACTACCTGGAATCATCCTGTAAGAGCATGGGTCAGATGGTTACTCTTCTGCCACGAACACTCTATTTGCTTCCCATCTCACTCGGACTAACACTGTGTCCCCGGCTCTTTATGACTCGCATCCCCTGCCTCATTGGCTCTGGGAACACATGCCATCCCCCAGTTCATTCTGCTCCAGTCACCCTGGGATCCTTGCTGCTCTTCATACAGTTTAACCCCTATTCTGCCTCAGGGTCTTTGCACTAGCGATCTGCTCAGAAAGCTCTTCCGTGTAACAGCATTGCTTGCTTCCCCGCCACCTTCAGTTCCCTGCACAAATGTAACCTTATCGGACTGTCCTACAAAAAGAGCAAACCCATCCTTGGCTCCTACAATCTCCTTCAACCTGCTTTATTTTTTTTCTGTAGATTTTATGACCATCTAACATACTACATGCTGACTTATTTGTTTACAGATCATATCCTGTCCAGTAAGAATATATGCCCCATTTCGGAGAAACTGTATCCTTTGTTCACTGCTTAGTCCCCACACGCAATAGACGCTGGGACATTTGTTGAAGGAAGACAATGAGGGTCCCAGCAATTCTCAGTCAGATAGAGAAGGGATTGATTAGGAGGCTGGGAATTGGCCAGAGAGGCAGGAAAAAACCAGGAGCATGAACTGTAACAGAAGCTTAGAGAGAAAGTACTTTTTATTGTGGTAAAAATATGCAACATAAAATCGACCATTTTAACCATTTAAAAGTATATAGTTCAATGGCTCTACGTACATTTACATTGTCCTGTAACCTTTACAACCATCCACCTCCAGAACTTTTTTCATCTTCCCAAATTGAGAACCTGGTCTCATTAAACAGTGACTCCCCATTCTCCCCTCCTCCAGCCCTGGCAGCCACCCATCTCCTTTCTGTCTCTGTGCCTTTGACTGTCCTGGGCACCTCACATAAATGAACCCACAGAGTGTTTATTCTTTTGTTTCACTGAGCATGTCTTCAAGGTTCATTCATGTTGCAGCGTTTACCAGAATTTCCTTCCTTTTAGAAGCTTAATAATATTTCATTGTATTTATAGACCACATTTTGTTTATCTATTCATTTGTTCATAGACACCCTGGGTTGCTTCCACCTTTTGATTATTGTTAATAACGCTGCTATGAACAAAGGTGTACCAATATCTCTACGAGACCCTGCTTTGAGTTTCTGGAGGTATATGCCCACAAGTGGAACTGCTGGGTCATCCTACGGTACTCCTCGGGTTAATTTCTGGAGGAACCCCCATACTGTTTTCATAACAGCTGATTCAGTGCACAGGGATTTCTATTTCTTTACACCCCTGCCAACACATTATTTTCTGTTAAAATACTTCTTTAAAATAATTGCCATTCTAATGGGTGTGAAGTGGCATCCCATTGCGATTAGAGGAAAGCGGCAACCATGTTAAGAGCTGCTGCAAGATCTAGTAAATCAAGACCGGGAGTGTTTTTTGTGTTTGGCGATGCGGAGGTGCTGACTTCAGGAGAGTGATGGGGAGTCGTGAGCTCTGAGCAGGCGGGAGAGTGAAGGGGTGGTTGTTGGGGGAGAGCCCCAAAAGTCTAAATTCAGGATCCATTCCAAAGAACTGACATGTAGCTTTATTCATATTCATGAGAGCTTTAATAGGAGAAACTCACATGCACAGGCAAAGTAGTTGTTGCTCCCAGTGGTAGCTGGCTGGGAAGAAATCCACCCCTTCCCAGGACAGGGTCTCTTTTTTATGGGGGGGGGTTAATAGTAAAACCACACGGTGGGGAGTCACCTAGACCACCAGGAAGAATAACGCCTTTCTCAGTTAACAGATAACATCAGGCAGTTGCTACACTCTCTACATTCATTAACTTCCTTCCTGGGTGATGACGTTCATCTTTGGGTGGTAGTCCAGCCTTCTGGGTAGTCAGCCAAGCCTGAGGCTACAGAGAGTCAAAGTCACAGGGCGTTAAACTGAGAGTCCAACATTTCCCAGATGCCTTTACTGCTGGAGCCATATTGCCTCTCTGACTTCCCCTACCTGTGCAGTGGTGGGGAAGAAAGATGGCTTGATAAACTTGTGTGTGCTCAGGAGTAGAGAACTATTATTTTTTTTTTAAGATTTTATTTATTTATTTTTAGAGAGGGAAGGGAGGGAGGGAGGGAGGGAGGGAGAGAGAGAGAGAGAGAGAGAGAAACATCAATGTGCGGTTGCTGGGGGTTATGGCCTGCAACCCAGGAATGTACCCTGGCTGGGAATCGAACCTGGGACACTTGGGTTCCCAGCCCGCGCTCAATCCACTGAGCTACGCCAGCCAGGGCTGAGAACTGTTATTTATTGAATGTTTGCTATGCTCTGACATTGCGTGAGATGCCAGGGCTGGCAAAAGAGCCAGAAGAACATGGTTCCTGTCCTAATGGGGCTGGCAGTGCAGCAGAAGAGACAATGAACAAGTTGATTTAACTCCAATGGAATAAGCAGAAGGTGCTGTGTATATATTGCAGCAAGGTGGCTCCTGCAGAAGGCAAGGGAGGCGGCTGGAGGGCACCCTGAGGGAGTGGCATGCAAATGGATTAGGATTTACAGTCCCCTATGGGTCCATCTTCAGGGGGGCAATGCCTTGGTCCAGCTGACAGGACATTTGGGTCCCCAAGACAGCTGCCTTCTCACCGACTGTCACCTCCATCGCCTGGCTCCTGCAACCAGAATATGCAAATGGCAGGCAGTTATATATGCCTAAATGACACTGGCTACATGCTCATGCAGGAACTTAGCCTTCTCCACCCAAGTATTCCCCCCAAATAACTTCAGTGAGCCCTCAGAGAAGTACATCCCCTATTTTCTCCCACCACCCATCGGTCGGCCTCTTCCTCTTCAGCTTTGGCTTCCATTTGTCCAGATCCCCTGCTCACGAGGCTAGATGATGGAGCCTCACAGTGTGAGGACACCCAGGTGTGTGCCAATGGCTTCTCCCCAGGCTTCTCAAACCACCTGTCTCCCGGGTGACGAGCAGGGCTGGGTCTGCACGGAGGGGTGGAGTTGTGACATGCTGTACCTGCATCCCACAGCAGCCATCCTTGTGCTCACAAAATCTCATTCCCGTTCCCTGTCAACTTTCTGTCCTGTTCAATTCTGATTCGAGGGCCAGATTGGGAGCCGTAGATGCATGACTTTGGGCAAATTAAGTAAACCTCCTCGGACCTTCCTTTTCTCATCTGTAATATTGGATGATAAAGTACCTATTTCAGACTAAGTGAAAAAATCCACGTATAGCTTTAGCACAGTGACTGGTAGTAGGTGCTGGGGCACTGCCACTCTTATGAGGACTTAATATTGTGATTACGTGCTGAGAGTTTGCCTACATGAGGTGTCTGAAGTCGCAGCTCAGCTAGCCAAGGTCCACCGTTAAATACATGAGCATTCTCACTTCGCCCGCCAGTCTCACAAGCTTAGCTAAAGTGTGTCCACCTCTAAGAGCTAAAGCCGCCCCAGGCGCTGACAAGATCTGGATTCTGAACGGCGAGGCTGAGGACAGCACCACTCGCTTGCTTCGCTCAGTGGGCCCCTGGTTCCCCGCCTGAGCCAGGCAAGGCAGTGCCGAGCCCCAGGAAACTCCCAAGGAAGTTTGCATTTGCCAAAATGCAAACCAAGGAAAAAGGATAAAAGCAACAATTTTGGACCAGGCTGGCATATTTACTTTTACTTACTGGGCTCATAAACCGTGAGCCCAGTCTGCCATATTTACTTTTTCTTAATCTAGAATAACAAGAGATAACATACACAATGGACTTTCTAACTTGCCACTTTCCCTTATCATCTTTGCCTTTGTGAGCCTAAGACATCATGTACTTTCATACAATCCCTCAAAAAAAAAAAAACCAGAAAAAAAAAACCCCTTTGGCCATTCCACTCCCTGCTGCCCGTGGAGAAGAACAGACTGTATCTGATGTTTCAGCTGGAAGGCAGGGTGGCAGATTCTTTCCAATGGGGTGGCGACTTCCTCCCCGCTTTCAGAACACACCCCTTCCCAAAAATCCGCCCTCCCGGGCAAGCAGCACAAAGGGAGTAGACCCGGCTCTGGGCGTCAGCAAATGCCCACAACCCTTCCTTTTCCTTTTACACCCAGTGGCCTGGGAATGGCACATGAGCTTGGGGAATCTGCACCGCCAAGCTGTGCGTGGCCCCTCCAGGCCTGCATGTGGCCGTGCTCTCACCCCTCTCCCCCTCCGGGTCCGTCTTCCAAACCAACCCCGCTGTGATGGGCCTACCCCCCAAATCTGATCCGCGTTTTGCCTATCTACTTAAGAACTCGCCGTGGATGAAAATGGTGTAGAACTAGATGGTGGTGGTGGTGGTGGTCGCACCACATAGTGAATGCATTAAAAGCCACCAAACTGTATCCTTTGGGAGGTTAACAAGGTGAATTTTATGTTATGTGATTTTTACCACATTTCTTAGAAAAGCACTTGGTGTCCAGTTGTTGCTCTTGTAACAGCCATTAGTGATCATTGCCTACATCTTTAGGGGTTTGGTGGTAATCCCTTCATTAGCTGGAATACTTCTACCCTGAGAAAATTTCCCTTATCCCTTATCAACCATTTGGTGTTTCTGAGGTACAGTGGGTACCCTCTCACCTCGTGTTCCTGCCTGTGCCAGTCCATCACCCAGGAACACTGTACCCCGTCCTCTCTGCCTGGCTAATGCCAAAGCCAGCTCCTTCACGGCCCGCTGCACTGTTGCCATGGTGAAGCTCCACTATCCCCATCCGAGCACTTACTTCCCTTTATTGTGACGCTGTGTTGCCCCCGTCTCCTCTCCTGACTGTTAGCTCATCAAGGGCAGGTTCTGTCTCCTCTTCTTGGATTCGGCCTGAATGGGAGAGGAGGTGTTCACTCAACAGTGGCGAAGTGAAGGTGAGCTTCTTCACTGCAAACAATGGGCAAAAGGTAAGTATTAGTCATCTCCTTTGTATCAGTGCCTTGGCTTTGTCTTGCTCTGTAATTAATGACACGGATCTAGAAACTTAAAATGACACATTTATTACCTCATAGCTCTTTGTGTCAGGAGCCTGCCAAGGCTCAGCTGGGTCGCCCTGCTCATGATCCTCATCAAGCTAAAATCAAGGTGCGGCTGGGCTGCAGGCTCCACTGGGAAGAATTCATCTCCAAGCTTAGTTAGGTTGTTGGCAGAATGCACGTCTTCACGATTGTATGACTGAGGTCTCTGTTTTCTAGCTGACTGTAAGCAAGGGGTTACGCTTAGCCATTAGAGCCTGCCCCCAAGTCCCTGCCATGTGGCCCTTTCCACTGACCCTGTCCTGACACAACTTACTTTTGCTGAGCCCCCAGTGCAGAGTGAGTCTCTGTAGGATGTGCTGGCAGGATGAAACCTTATGTATGTAACTGTAACTGTAATCATGCTTGCCACATCCTACTGGTGTAAAAGCAATTCAAAGGTCCCACCCATACCTACACACGGTGTGAACACAGAGGCCACCGAGGGCCTGTCCTCCACAATGAGCTACGACTTCCTGAGAGTCACTGTGTGCCACCCACTATACAAGGCACTTTTCATTAATTATTTCATTAGATCCTCAAACTACCTTACGAGAGGGAAACTATGAGAGCTGTGTTACACATTGGGAAGTTGAAGCTCAGAGAATCTGGTGTTTCACTTGTTCAAGGTCCCACAACCAATAAATGACAAATCTTGGATTGAAACCCAAGTTGCATTTGTAAAATCATCTTCTACTCTTCAGACCTTGCTTTTTAAATAGTTTGCCTCAGCCCTGGATGGTGTGGCTCAGTGGATTGAGAGCTGGCCTGCGAACAGAAGGGTCACTGGTTCTATTCCCAGTCAGGGCACATGTGTGGGTTGCAGGCCAGGTCCCCAGTACAGGGCATGGGAGATGCAACCACACACTGATGTTTCTCTCCCTCTCTCCCTTCCTCCCTTCCTTCCCCTCTGTCTAAAAATAAAATCTTTAAAAAAAATCCATTTTTAAATAGTTTGCCCTAGAAAACTCTTGAAAAGTTGTCCCCTTCTTTCTCTTTCTCAAGGGTCACAACAGAAATAGGAAATGCACATTCTTTTTGCTTCTCGGATTCCTATTTTCAAGCACAGTCAAAATGAATTCCTGCTGAGAGGGAATATGCAGACCTGAGCTGGCCCTTCTAGGAAGTGCTGTGTGGCAGAGTTAGGGCAGGCTGCCAAAGCAGGGAAGGAGGCCTGGCCTGGATCTTCTCAACGCCATCCGAAAATAATGATAATAACACCTCCTACTTCTATCCGGAGTTATCAATTGCCGTCTCACTTTATTCTCAGTGTCCCTGTGAGTCAGCCAGGGTAGGGATTCTACATATTCAGTGTACAGATTATTCTGTACATACAACTTTGTATTTTGGCTCAAAACCTTTGCATGAACATTTTCCAATGTGTCTTCTATCTTTTCCCTAGGCATGATTTTAAATGGCTGCTTAATATGCAACTCAATAGATAATTCCTAGTTTACTAAAGCTATTGAGGTTTCTGCTTGTTTCCCCCTAATTTGGGCTATTTAGTTCTCTTCTTGTTTCTCACTATTACAAAAAGTCCTGCGATGATCAGACCTTTTCCCTCACTTCCACATACACACCTACTTAGGATACAGTCCCAGAAACCAGATGGCAGATGGCAGTGTCAGGGCTCTTGGTGCACTATAACCCCCGTTTCTTAGGTGAGGAAACAGACTCTGTGAGACTTGCCCAAGTCCACACGGCTCATGAACGCACAGCTGAGACTTGGAACAACGTAACGTCTTCTCTGCTGGCAGTGTGCTCCACGGACCGCAGCTTGGTAAGCCCTGGAAGAATGTTAGAGATGCATCATCTCGGGTCCCACCCAAGACCTCATGAGTCAGAATCTGCTTGTACACACAGCAAAGTTCGAGAAGCTTTGCTAGCAACACATCCTGTAAAGTGCTGTAAAGTGCTTTGAAATGAGGCAAAACAGGCAGCTTTGGTGTTACCAGTTCTCCACTTTCACGTTTCCTTGTTTAAGAGCTGCTGTGCAGCTCGGGTACCGCGTGACGGATTTATTAATTTCATTGTCAAACCTCAGAATCTTTAACTTGCCTCCGCATTATCCCTGCATATGGTCCAACCCTCCTGCTCAGAATTGTGCAAATAGCGCTTAGGAATAATTTTCAGTGTGAAACTGTCATGGCGAGGGACAGAGAGCATTGCATCAGGTGTTCTGGTCCAGGTTCTACCACTAACGAGCTGCATGACCTTGGAGAGCCACTGAATCGTTCTTTACTGAATTAGAGACAGTGATGAGAGCACATTTTGTACATCATAAAGCACTGGACACATCTGTGGGGCAGGCTATATTTAGAAATCCTCTTCCTTGTGAGGTGAAATGAAAGCATTTATACCAGATGACCCTTGGAGCACATATTCAGAGGACCAAATCCTTCCGAAGGAAGCCTCCTTGGGGTTGGATTCCACCTGTGCTCTCCAGGAATATAATGACAGAGATGTATGTCCAATCAGAACAGGTAACAGTGAGAACTTAAGAGTAACTGGTCTTCAAAGTCCCTTTTAACTCTATAGACCTATGATCTACCATTCCACCATGAACCCCCCCACCACAGACTTCTAGCCTCAGCTGGTCATTTTAATGCAGCTACCGGCTTCTAGGAGGGAGAGCAGCTATCCCATTATTTAAGAATTTAAATGTACTCAAAATCCCATTTCTGGCATTAAAGTATTTCTTGTTGTATGCAATTTGATTAATTTCCTTTTCCTTAAGCACGTGAAACAATCAAAGACCAAGCTCAGGTCTTCCCAATCGGATGTAATTACTGAAGACTCTGGTCTCTGGGCTGTTCTCCTGCCTGTTGCCCGCCCCCCCCCCCACCCCCGCCCCATTACCTTTCTTAAAAGAAAGTTAACAAGCTTTACCTAGACTCTCTGTTTTGTATCCACATTTCTCAAACTTAAGAGCTGAATATTATTATTACTAAATAAGCAGCCCCGATTCAGCCCCTTTGACAACCAGGTAGTTAAAGGAAATATAAATGTCACATGTGGTATATTTCAAAGAATGGTCAGCAATGGTCATTTGCCCTGGACATCACGGTGATGTCCTCAGAAAAAGGAAACAGATTTTTTGAGACTAGATTCCAAAGGTTGCTTTTGTTTTAATGTGTTACATAATCAGTTTTCTTATAAATCAGGCTGTTTAGCTTTTCTTTTTCTCTTACTGCTTTATGATTTTAAATGGCTGCTTAATATTCACAACTCAATAGATAATTCCTAGTTTACTAAAGCTACTGAGATTTCTTCTTGTTTTCCCCTAATTTGGGCTAGTTTTCATAAAGCTCTTAAGTTGAGCTTTTTGATATTGAGAGATCAGTATTTCTAAAATGCCAAAGTTCTAAGAGGAAAAAAAAATAGTAAGAGGAACTATTTCAATCATTTTCAACAGCAAGATATTAATCAATGCCCCTTATTGAATGCCCTGGTGGGAAATTAACCACTCATTCATTTCCACACATATTCAGTAAAAGCCTGTTAGGTGTCAGGCACACGGGGACCCTGGGTGGAAGACACGGATCCGGTCCCCAGGGAGCTCAGTGTTGGAAGGCTGCACTGGGTGCTAGGATGAGGGTGCACACAGGGCTTTCGGCACAGAGATAGCAAGGACAGGCCATTCTTCCAAAGGGGCCGGAGAAAGCTCCCTAGATGAGATGCCTCTCAGGCCGAGGAGGAGATAGCCAGGGGGACAGAGGAGTGAAGGCTGTTTCAAGCAGAGGGAACAGCAAATGTAGAGGGAAATGCACATACAAAGGTGCAGAGGCAACAAGGAACATGACAAAGAATTAAGACGGTGTGGGGAGAGGGAGGGAAAATGCAGGAGTAGGCAGTAGGATAGAATGCAGTACTTGCTGAAATAAATCAGACAGACTGAGCCAAAGCCTCCATGGTATAAAGATTTCAGAGAGGAGAGTTACTTTCAGGCACTCCAGAAATAATACCTGTTAGGCGTGAACTTTCATTTGGAGATGATACCCTATCAAGAAATTGGTTGGCGTTACTCCAAAGTAGCAATTATAATTCTTATTTTGCCTGGGCTTACTCTTTTTTTCTCCCCCTTGTCCCCTCTGAGTGTAACTGCTCCAACTGTCTCTGGAAGAGGAGAGTCTCTGCACAGGCGGCGTTTCAGGCACCGCTCATTTGATCTGGTTGACTCAGGAAGCAGATGCATCCTCTTGGTCTCAGCACAAATCGCTGGGGCTTCTTTTTGTGTGTGTGTTTCACCAAAGCCAGATCTATGTGTCGATCAGCACAAAGGAAAAAAGTAATTACTGAAGTATTAGCGAGATTATTATTTCCTGATATGAACGGCTGCATTCCTTACTTGTATCTCGTTCTCTCCCTGGGCCAAACTGGGATAGAAAATTTAAAAACAAACTCTTTTTTGGACAAAGTCTATACTAATTATTTTTAATCTTGTTTGCATTTGGAGGACTTTTTGGGAATTCAATAAAAAAGATAAGCCTGCTCCTCAGAAAAATTCTCATTTTCTCATACCCACAAAATGGAACGTGGTTTCAATAGGTTCACAAGCCTCTCGAGGCCCCTGACAGCCCCTGAGTAATCCATAGACCTTGGTTAGGGTCTATGGTAACTATCTACACAGCCAGAAATAAAATGGAAGAATTGCTTTTGAAATTGGGCTGTGACAGCTGTCTGCTGATTACGGCAGATAGCTTGGGAAGCCAGAATAAACCTGAATTGCATGGGCCGTCTCCACATGCTCAAGCCTCTTCCACAACATTGATCCAGAGGGTGGGCCTCCGCTTCCCAGCTGTCTTCACTGCCATGCCAACCCAAACACCAGAGAAGGTCCCAAGCAGGAGGAGGCAGAGCAAGAAATCACTCAAGGCTTTTCATTTGCTAGACTTGCTAAACTCAAGTCTCATCAGCCTTGCAGTTAGAAGACCTTTTTTAAAAAATATTTTATTTATTTTTAGAGAGAGGGGGAGGGAGGGAGAGAGGAGAGAAACATCTTTGGGAGAGAGATATATTGGTTGCCTCTCACACGCCAACTGGGAACCCGGCCTGCAAGGCAAGCATGTGCCCTGACTGGGAACTGAACTGGTGACCTTTCAAACCTAGGCCCGTGCTCAATCCACTGAGCTGCACCAGCCAGGCTAGAAGAAGACCTTGAAGATCTTGTTTTAATCAAATGTCTTCCACTGCCTACTTGTGCAACCTTGTCAATTACATCTTTCAAGTGTTGGCTTCCTCATCTATAGAATGGCGATAATTTTAATACCTCTCAAAGGTGTTATGAGGATTTAATGACATAGAGTATGAAAACATTATTGACCTTAAACAAATTGCCACATATTTCTCCAGCAAAGTCCATGTGCTCGGGAACAACGCAGAATCACAACTTGGCACGTGCAGCCCAATGGTAACCCGAGCACCAGCCCAGGAGAACACTGGAGATGGAGCTGTCTTACGGGAGTGGGAGGGGCTCTAGTAAAGGAAGACATCATTGGAGAACCGGAAAGTCTGAAGTGGTTTTCATTGGCTGAGTGGTGGCGGCCTCCCATTGGCTCAGCTGTTACTGGAAAGTCCTACCACTTCAGGTTGAAGATGCAAAGTGGGCCTCTTCTTGCTGGAGTCGGTAGTGTGAGCTGAGCGATGAGTGTGAGCAGTCTCTCCACGGGCCTCCTGACTCCATTTTTAAATGGGGTTTCTGTTTATTAATTTTCACAGTGTTTACCAGACATCTAGCTCATAGATGGTGCTTGATAAATGTTAACTGACATTTAGTTTCCCAAGGCAGAGGAAGACCTTTTAGGAACCCTAAATACTGAAAAAAAATTATGGAGGGGGACTGAGAGTTTTCTGCCACTCTGTCCAGGCAACAACCAAAAAGATGAGCAAACGGAAAAGTCAAAACTTCTCGTAGCTCCGTCAGAGAAGTGAGGTAACGGGACAAATGGTTGCCCCCCAAGCCGGCAAGAAGGTGAATGAATACAGGTGGGTTCCCAGAGCCACAATTTACAGGTGCAGAACCAATGGTGGGGTAGGAGAGCCTGAGCTGTAACTGCCAGATTGCTGGAGGCTCAGCGTGGACAACTCCGAGAGGTTAAAAGCTCCAGGGGAGTGTGGAGGGACCCCCACTTGTGTGCATTCTACCTCCAGGAGCTCTATTGGGTCCTTACAGTGAGTATTGGAGAAAAATACTGTACTTCCAGCAGCGGGACAGAAGGAGGGGAGGAACCATTTTCAGAATGCCAGAGCTTCCTGTTCTTCTTAACAAGGCCTGCCCTCAGGAGGATCTATTTTACTGGAGTTAACCTACTGGGTTTTATTGGAGCCTAGCCTACTTGGGGGAAGGGAAGCACCAAACTTTAGCCCCCTCTATCCTTCTTGTGGGGGAAGGGAAATCCATAACTCAGCCCCTCTCACCATCCCCTCCCACCTAAAGTGGCAGAAGAACCGAGATGCACGGGTCAACTTTGGCAGGGGCACAGGCTCACCGGAAGGACAGATCTAATCCTGGGACTGTGGACACGCTTCCCCTCCCCTCCCAGCTTACCAGCACGTTACTATAGGCTTACTGACCGCAGTTCCCTCTACCTAGGACATTGCCGGCCTTTCAACAAAAAATTCCAAGCATGTTCAAAGGCAAAAAACACAGTTTGAAGAGACTGAGCAAGAATCAGAACCAGAGGCAGGTATGGCAGAAATGGTGGAATAATCAGACCAGGAATGTTATAAAACTATGATGAATATACCAAGGGCCTCAGTGGAAAAAGTGGATAACATGCACGAACAG